CCACAAAAACCATTGTGAACCACTGCCTTTGGAGAACCCCTCCTATGTTTCCCCACGATGTGCATATTACGTGCTGTTAAGCCCTCTTCCCGGAAGGCGATGGAGTGGTATCCTATAATTCTCATGGGCTTTGTACCATTGATGTCAGATTATTCACGTCGTTTCTGCCGCAGTCTTTCTAGAACACTGGATTACATAGACGGCGAAACCAAGGAGACTTCATTCCTCGAAACGTTTGTTTGAAGGAGCATGAGAACATATCAGGTTTATGCAACTTACTACTCTTCGTTGAAAGCCGGCATCCGGAGTATGTCGGAGAGACCACGGAGTTTGACATGGAGTGTGGTGTAGGACATGACTACTCTTTTTTACGGATGCTCCGTAACTTCGCATTCACTCGAACGAGTGTTGCAGAGCAACTCTTGTGCCTAGTGGATCGCTCAAACTTTTCAATCGGAAACAGTATTTTCGTAGTTATTTGCAGGGTTCCATTGGCGTCAACAGTTGTGAAGTGTATCGAAAAGGTCTCTAGACCACTGGCATCATTTTCAATTTCAACCACAGTGAATATCATCGGGTACTGAAACCTCTTCTTGAAAGGCCGTAGGAGGGGTATAAATCGCACACGAGCACAAGAGGTTCATTTGAGCCTCCTGTTGACATCAAAGGAATGTGCACCACAGTGGATTTCGCCGAGGATAGTTGTTTGCAAACGCCTACGTTCATCCATGTGACTGGTGAGAAGGATGGATTCAGAGACGTGTGCTAGTTACCTACCTAGCTACCTATACAGATCTCCGCGGTGTTTGTTGCTGCATGCCACGCTATCCGGATCTATGACGGGGATTGATGACCCAAGAGTTTAATAATATCTTTCATACACCTCTGTTAGGTCAAGAGTTGACCACATCTCTGCTTCTCTCGTTCCGAATTGCGCGCGGGAAACATCACTCGTTTCTGCAAACGATGGTTTGCCATGCGCAATACATGGTCTAACCAACGCTGCTTCTGGTGCTGGACAAATTTTTCAACGGAAGTCCCCGTTGCACAACCGAAAACCCGTCTCCTAAATACCTCAATGCGGATTTTCCCACACCAACTCACACGTACTATAGTCCTGGGACAACGACTGTCACACGCTTGAAAAACCTCACAGTGCCCTTGCGCGAACAGCCCAAGTCTCACAGTCATACAACAAAACAGCCCTTAGCCCAATACACAAGTCCCTTGAGATTCAGGGACACATCAGTTTGACGCCAGAGGTATCTCAAATTGGCAGACGTGACTCGCGCCTTGCAGATTCGTGCATTGACCTCATCTGTCACACTACAGTCAGAACTGATACAAATTTCAAGGTGTGTGAAACGCTCCAGAACTTCGAGTGTCTCTCCCTGGATTATGAGTGGCGCGTTCAGTGACTGCTTGTCCAGGAACATGACCTTACACTTTGCGGGTGCAAAGCGCATACCAAAGGACGGTGGAATCTTCGTTAGTTCATCTAAAAGCACTTATGCCTTCCTCTCCTCTTCGAAGATCAGATCGATGCCGTCTGCATATTTCAAGTCTACAAGGTTTTCGTCGGAGGCTGTTTGAACATCAGTGTTTTAGAGGCCTTCCAGCGTTAGTCTCATTCCTTGATGGGCAAGGAGAACAGACCGGTCAACCGAGTCGAATGCGCCTTGGAAATCCAGGAATACTAAAATTGTGGGTCGCTTGTACGTTTGGCGTTGTTCCATCACCTGACGGAGTGTGAAGATTTGGTCAACGCGACCCCT